TTCAAAAAAATAGGGTGCAATTAAACATTGGCCCAGTATTCCACCCCACACATTAACTGACCATCTATTTTGATTTTTCATGACCCTGTATGCGCGAAAAGTACATTCATCTCGRAATAACACATTTTCGAAAAACTTTTAATTTTTTGCCACTTTATCTAACACCCACACACAAAACTCAGTTCGGTTTTCAGAATMATTTCCATAAAGTWCTTGGCAAAGYTGRRTYTTATAAAAATWMACGTTGTGCTTTATGAYMATTCTGGAAATACTTGATTGACTAATGTTAGTACTTTTGGATGTTAGATTTTGACTAGCATTGGGATTTTCGATGACTGAACCAATTACCGTGAAAACATTTTCTTTATCTTCAGTGACAGATTTCCTTGTAATGGGTTTTTTTTATAATTGACACTCCCACTTTCCTCAAATTGGTGTAATAAGCGCTTAAAAACTGTTGGCTTAGGATGATTTTTTCAGGAAACATTTGAGCATCAACTCGATAAGCCAATAAACAAATTTTATGACATTTTCCATGGGTGAAAATCATGTCAATACGCTCTTCTCTTGGATAATTCTTCATTTTCACTTAGCAACACAATAATAATATTAACGTAACTACCAACACGTCTACAATTACAAAAAACAATACCACTCTAGTTATCAAAAAGAGACTTTGCAGTCTAAACTGAAACATAAAATAAATGATTTGACATGTGTAAATGGAATAGGTAACTTAGATCCATTGAAACCTTAAATTAAACAACACCAAATGGTGCACAGAACGACTATTTGACGTATTTTGTAAGAAGGCAAAAACTTAGCTATTGACATCTTAATATCATTCGATAGGTAATTAAAAATTGCATTTCCTGGTAAGTTAAAAAATATGGGGTTGTATTTAAATTAATCAAGTTAGAGCCACTTAAATTTCTTATTTGATTAGTTTAAATTTGTGGACTCCCTGTATAACATGGTAAGTTTATTATCATTGGGATATAAAATATTGTATCTTGTTACACTTCACTATAACTTACGCTTACATAACTTAAATACGTATAAGTAATAAGTATTTGACACGTAAAAATTAGATTAGATTTTGATTAAATTCGTATTATTTAAAAAACCTTAAGATTTAGGTATTATAAACCTTATTAAAACGGACACTTATTTTGTTCAGCGAATCCAAAAATTCAATAATATACAGAACATTCCATTTAAAAAAACCCAACTTTGATACCTTTAGAGCTCTTTGGTACATTACAAAAATATTTTTAAAATGTGCCCTCGGTAGGAGTCGGACAATTCATAAAATAATACTTTTTAAAAATCAAACGGTTTAGCCGTAAACTTCCGTGCCGTATAGCGTGAATAACCCTGTATATAATTACGTTTTTAAATTATACAGTTGCAGCGACGAATAATTATTCATTTTTCCTATAAGGGAATTTGTGCTACTTAATTTGAGTCGCATTTATTGTTCAAAAGGACTTACTTTATTGCAATTTCAACAAGATTTAGGAAACTATTAATACAAAGTGTTACAAAAATAAGTTTCAAAATGATGTTTAGAAAAATTTGGTAACTGTTGCGCTTGATGGTGTCTGGTATCCTTCTGCCATATGTGTGTCTTTGGCATCATACAACTTTCTGAAGTATTCCTCCCACACTTTTGTAGTGACTCCTTTAACCTGTACGTAGTCGTTGATGTGTTTCTTCCTGTTTTTAAGCATACTCCACACTTTTCTTTGGGCACCATATAGGTCTAGGTCATGATCCCTGTCGCTGGTAAATTTGGCCCAATGTTCCCTTTTGATAGCTATGATCCTTGAGTTGACTCTGTGCCTCATTTGTATATGTATATTTGTAGTGTTTTTCCTGGGTTAGAGTGCTCCTGTATGTTAGAAAGCTTACTTTACTTCTGCGAGCTCTTTCACTCCTTGACAGAACCATGGTTTAGTGGAGCTTATTGCATTGATGTTGATTTTCCTTTTGCCAATGGATTCTTCGGTTTCGTCTTCGCTTGGTTAGTGAGGTCAATCTTACTAATTGTTTGCAATAATCTGTTTTCGTACGTAGTTTCCGATTTTTCTGATTCCAATGATTCCATGGTATATTTTTCTATATATAACGGCGGTTTCCTGATCCTGCGTGGCTGCTCCATTAGTAACTTACACAGGATAAGATTGTGATCTGTCCTTAAGTTAGCTGAAGTTAGAGCCTTTACATCGAGTACTTGCGGTGGTGTGATTGTTCTGTTGGTAATGATAAAATTGATCATTGATCTCTAGAGTTATTGAACGTATTTTTGTGTTGATCTCTATGTGGGAAGTACATATGTGTTATTGATCCTCATCTCGTTTCTTGCGCAGACATCTATTAGAAGCTCTCCGTTCTCATTAATAATGGGCTCGTTGTATTTTTGCTTTACGCCTGGTAGTATCGTATTACCGATTCGAGAATTGATATCTCCAAATATCACGATTTTATCGGAGTTACTGATTTTGTCTATTGAGGTCCGTAGTTCTAGGTAGAATTCTTCTCAGTCTGCAACAGGTTTGGATAAATCCGGTGCGTAAGTGCTTATAAGATGTATTGTAGTTCAGTTGATTTTCAGTTAGCTTCTCAAAAATCTGTCATTGATATATTTTATATCTTTGAATCTTTGTGCATATTTATCATGCAGTAGAATGCCAATCCCGGATTGTGCTCTTTCGTGCTTGGCGTTTACGCTGTAGGCTTGACCACTGGTATATGTTTTCAAAGTTTACATGTTCCTTGGCCTTTCCCTGTTGGTTCCAAGATCCCAAAGATGTCTATGTTGTGCTTTTCCATTTCCATTATTATTTTTTGATCGCTTCCATGCAGCGATGTTATATTCCAGAAAGCGACTCTGGTGGTGTGTTCAGATTTCCATTTTCGTTTTTTCCCTGTCATAGCCTGGGTCGGCTTCGTGCTGATTCGTCCTGTATCCGAGGCAGTGTCTTCGGTTCTATGAGCTGTATGTTTTTTGTTACTTCGGGTAGGTAGCTGGCCTAACCCAAAACGCTTCTCTTTTGTCCGGGCTTGGGACCGACAGTGACAACGTGGTGACAACCTTTGAGCGACTCAGTTCACCCATCAGACATCACAGGCAGAGTTAATGTGATAAAGCTGAATCAAGAACATGCGACACATTTGCCATTCGATATCCACAAAAACAGAAACCTTCATGCTGTGCTGTTAAACAAAACAATTTTGGGGGTTTCCATTTGAAAAAAATGATTTTGGGCGGTTTTCTCAACGTCATTTTGAAACCTATTTTTTTAATACTTCGGACTAATAGTTATCAAAATGTTGTCGAAATTCCATTAAAGTAAGGCTCTTTAAACAAGAATTGCGACTCAAATTAAGGAGCACATATTCCTTCATACGAAAAATGAATAATTATTCGAGTGGCTGCATCTGTCATTTTTTAGATAAAATTTCAAATATATCAAAAACGGTTATACTTAGGTATCGGATATTGTGCATGAAATATATTTAGTATTTAGAGTAGAATTCAAAAATGCAATAATGTATAGAGTGATCTATTTAAAATAAGCAAGTTGATACCAACTTCCGTTATAACCGAAAGTGTGGCCATCTTGAAATTATTTTAGATCGTTTGCCCCTAATGACTTCGCCACACTGTTCAATGTTCAAATTTCTCCTAGTCATAGTTTGCCAGATATCAATCGCGACGGATCTCGGTGGGACACCCTGTATAATACCATTATTGAAACAAGTTCATTGAATTAAACTTGAAAATTGCAGCATAAAATCGTTAGGGTAAAGAACAATTTCTTTTATTTTTTTAGCACTGTAAATAAGCGATGATAAATAATTTAATATTTGCCACCATTT